AAGCATAGATTTCCAGCACACAATCATAGATTCAACACCAATCTATTGCCATTGAATGTTACAGATTTGGGGATCCATTTGGCATTGGGAAGTTGTTCTTTGAATTCATCTCATTTCATCTGTTATGAAGCATCTCATGTCTGTAGTCCATTGAATCTATGGTTGTTTCCTTGGCCTAAATTTTAATTTTACCTTTGTACATATCTTATGATACAACTTCTCAACCAGCCAATCTGAATTTTTTTCTCTGCTCTTTCAAAGACTGTTATCTACCCTGTAAGATCACAATTCACAAAGAAAAGACCACGAATGCAGACATTCAGATACAAAAGAGATTCATCACAGCAATTTTAAAAATAACTGAATAAACACTAAAATTAATTTCAATACTTAATGATCAGGGCATGGTGACATAAATAATAATTCATTTAATCAATGAGAAATTACTCAGACCATGAAAATATCTGCAAAGGATGTTAATTATCATGTAACACTGAGTGAGAAAAAGAGGAAACAAAACTGTATATAATTCCATTTTAGTGGAAAACGATATATACATGTAGAAAGAGGACCAGAAGGAAACAGTCCCTTCTGTTTGGTTACTTGGATGATACCTCTTTCTGTTTACATTTTTATTCATTTTCTCAATTTTCTAAAATCAATACATATTTCTTTTACATTTGGAAATAAACTTGTTTCAAAGATCAAAAAGGCAAGTTGATACACTAGAATCCAGAAAACTACAGTAAGCCTTTTCCCTCTCCTAGGCTGGCTATTAGAAAGTTGCTTTCTCCTCTGTCTCATTTTAAAGAGGGTAGGTATTGCCACATTATTAAGCAATCAGCCAGTAGGATTCATCCAAGAACAATAAACTGACCTCTCAAGAGAAAATTAGTGAAGCTCAGGAAATTAGAGCTGGAAACCCCCACTGAGTGATCTAATGCATCCCTCAAGAATCAGCGCCATATACATTACACTTTCTGGTGCAGGCACTTTCTTTTCAATTTAATTTGAAAAGTTTCAAGTGATGGCAATTTCACTGCTACATCTTAGACCAGTCAACAAGCTATTAATCCATCTTCCCTGAGCAGAGCATAGTAACTCCAATAAACTTCAGAGATATCCATTTAACTTTCTGGCCTGGACCTACCAGCTGAACAAACACTTCAGACCGAGTTCAAATTCTGGCACCTCCTCTTAGCTAGAAGACTTTACACAAGTCCCCTTACCTATCTGTTCCTAGGTTTCCTCATTTGGGAAAAAGAAAACCTCATCACCTCCCTCAGAAAATCTGCTGTAAGAATTAAATGAGATGATACACACAGAGAATGTGCTTAGGGCAACAGTGGTGCTCGGTCAATGTTTGGCGATTCTAGAGCGCTCGGCTCACGTTAAACAGTTGTTTTCCTGGCAGAAGAAACAGTCTACAATGAGTCAACGATCCCTTCTTTTGGCTTTCCCTAGATAACACTAGTGGGTTACAGTGAACAATATAGTTCAAAACTTTGAAAAGCAAAATTTCATTTGGTACCCAAACCTTGGGCTACTGGCACCAACGAAATTAACTAGCCTCATCGACATCTGTGAAAAGAAGGGGGAAAAATAAAAATAAAAATATTGTAAAAATAAATTAGGCTCAGATCACAAATGTGGTTCAGAGAGCACTTTTTCATTGTGAATAAGAGCCAGAATTGGAAGGCCAGGAGGATGGGAAAAAGAAGACATGGAATGAAGAGTCACCTTTGAGAAGGAATCAATATTTTGATGAATAGTTCATGGAGAGGCTGAAGGAAAGAGAAGAATGCTGCCAAGTACCTAACTTGGATGACTAAATTCACAATTTATTCATTCAATGAATTATCTGTTGAGCACCTACTAAGGGCCAGGCATGGTCCTGGGTGTTTGGGATAACACAGCAAACAAAACGGAAAAAAAAATCTCTGCCCTTGTGGAGCTTCCTTTCTAGTGGGAAAGACAGTAAATAAGAAGACAAATAAATAAAAACGACCGTGTCTGACATAGGAAATAAACAAGGTAATGGAATGGAGAATAAGAGGATGGGTTCCACTTCAGATATAATGGTCACGGAAGGCCTCTGTCAGGCGGTAACATGTGAGTTAGTGGGTCCTGGAAGATGAGAAGGAACCAATAGTTAGAGAGGAGAGGAAGCATTCCAGGAGGAAGGAACAGTAGGTACAGAGAAGACTTTGGGGTGGGAAAAGGTTAGGTATGTTGGAGAAACGGGGGACAATGTCTATGTAACTGAAGTGCAGTAAGAAAGGAGAGAATTCTGGGCATGGTGGTGCATACCTGTAAATCCCGGCACTTTGGGAGGCTGAGGTGGGAGGATCGCTTGAGGCCAGGAGTTCGAGGCTGCAGTGAGCTATGATCGCATAACTGCACTCCAGCCTGGGCGACAGAGCAAGACTCTGTTTCTAAAAAATAAACAGTAAATAAATAAGCAAATAAGAAAGGAGACACTTGGCAGAAGAGATTGGAAAAGTGGGCAGGGTTCATTCACCAAGGACCAAGCCTTGAGAAGCAGGTTCTTGGGGAAGAAAATGAGTTCCCCTTTGACACACTGAGTTTGGGACACCTGAGAGGATCTCCAAGCTAAAGATCCAGGACTGCGTCCTAAGAATTAGAGACAGACTGGGATCTGAGAAATTGCTCAGTTGCATCAGAATCACCAGGGAGTATTCTAAAAATACAGTTTTCTCAAGCATTAAAAGTACAGATTTCTGGCTGGGGGCGGCGGCTCACGCCAGTAATCCCAGCACTTTGGGAGGCCAAGGCAGATCACGAGGTCAGGAGATTGAGACCATCCTGGCTAACACAGTGAAACCCCATCTCTACTAAAAATACAAAAAATTAGCTGGGCATGGTGGTGGGCACCTGTAGTCCCAGCTACTCGGGAGGCTGAGGCAGGAGAATGACGTGAACCCGGGAGACAGAGTTTGCAGTAAGCTGAGATCGCACCACTGCACTCCAGTCTGGGTGACAGAGCAAGACTCCGTCTCAAAAAAAAAAGTACAGATTTCTGGGGTGCTACCTGGAAAATTCTAATCCAAGTAGGTCTTGATCAAGACCTGAAAATCATTTTTTTCAATACATCCAGGTAATTTTGGTCAATTCATTTAAGAAACATTTCTTGCATTCCTACTATGCACCAGGACAATTCTTAAGTGCTGGAAATATAGTTCTGAACAGGTTGGACAGGTTATAGTCTAGAGAAAGAACAGACAGTGAACAAGTAAAGAAATAAATTACAATTGTGACACACACTACACACACACAAAAAAATAACAAGCTGGCAAGTATAAAATAAGGATGGAGACCTACGCTAGATAAATCTACAAGGAAGACTTCTCTTTGAGGAAGTGACTTAAGCTGTCACCTGAGGAATAAGAAGGAGGAACCTCCCAGAACATTAGGAGGCCAAGGCGGGTGGATCACGAGGTCAGGAGTTCAAGACCAGCTTGGCCAAGATGGTGAAACCTCTACTAAAAATACAAAAATTAGCTGGGCGTGGTGGTGGACACCTGTAATCCCAGCTACTCGGGAGGCTGAGGCAGAGAACTGCTGAACCCAGGAGGTGGAGGTTGCAGTGAGCCAAGATCACACCACTGCACTCCAGCCTGGGTGACAGAGTGAGACTCTGTCTCAAAGTGAAAAAAAAAAAAGAAAGAAGGAGGAGGAGCCATGTGACAGCCAGGGAAAAGCAGTTGAGGAAGAGGGAACAGCCAATGCAAAGACTTGGTTGAGAATTCAGTAGATGAATCTAATCTTTCAGTTATTCCCATTTCATTAATCCATCAAAATGAAAAAGAGGGCATGGTGGAGAATGTACTATTTCATCTTTGTGTGTTCACCCAGCAAGCTATACTAAGCACATCCCTTGTACCAGGAACTGTGCCAGATGCTGACACAAAGATGAGCCAGATGACCCCTTCTCTCGGGGAGTGTGCAGTCCAATGAGGGAGGCAGGTAACAAAATAAGCATGGCTCATGAGATAAGTGAGAATCTCCCAGACAATCAGCTTATGTTCTGAGAAGGCCAAGAAGATGATTAATAGTTTCGAGTATGATGATGCGAGCAATTGCTGTTGACACTGCGTGATCAAATTATTTTCATTTCTTTGTGGTCCTGCAGCTCAGAATACCTGGATTTTTGGTGAAATATTTGCAAGGGATATCAGATTTAGGATACTGTATAATGCACTATTATGTTTCAGAGTATAAGGAGAAATAGCATGCTAATAATAGCTAATACTTATTGAGAACATGGATTTACCTGGATAATGTACCATCTCATGGAAGAGTCACTACGCCTTTATGAGGCAGGGACTATTATTATTTCCGCCTTTTCAGATGGAGAAATAGGGGCTTAGCAAGACCAAGAGGCTTTCCTGAAGTGACAATTTCCCAGTTCTGTCTGGATTCGAGCCTCAGTTCTGGTCCACACGCCCTCTCATGAATAGCTTAGACACCGATACAATTGCTTTTCTCGCTCTAGTCCCCAAAGTGGATACCTTGTTCTTCTCCCCAACCCACTCACTTATCCATCTAGGTTGCCTAGGCTAGCCTGATCTACCTGCATTTCTCCCCAGGGGTCCTGCAGGTGGAAAAATGGAAAGAATGGGCACCTGGACGGGCATGGACAGGGCAGTGCCCACTGACTGACTATACTTGACTCCAGTCTCTTGAGCCCCAAGTAGAATGTGGAAAACTTTGAGGCCAAAGCTGGGCACCTGGTTCCCACTCCATCTGGGGCAGGGGGCTGGGGGGAGGAGAAATTCCTGGGGCTCAGTGTTCAAGGTCTGAGGCACAGGAGACAAATCAAATGCCAAGGCACCAGACAGTTAAGGTAAAACGTTGAAGTCAAGAGGAAGTAGTGAGTCTGTTGCCAACTGGATAGGGTTGGTCCTATCCCATCTAAATGTATTAGAATTAAGTGGCTTTTAAAAATGAGCAGGTCATCTTCAGCCCGCGGGCTGGCCAATTTGGAACTTAATGGGCCTTTGCGTCCTCCTTCTCTGAGCCTCCTTTTATTCCAGACTTTTCAGTGTGAGTTTGTGCGTCCCTCCGACGGTCTCTGGGTGTGTCCTTCAGGCAGTAGGATGCCTTCGACTGCCTGTCCCGTTTCTCAGGCTGACGCTCTCTCTGTCCTCCCCGCCTCCCCTCACTCCTTTTCTCCCTCCCTTTCTCCTTGTGGGGAGGCTCTTGGCCCGGGTCCCTGAGCCCGGGCGGGTGCTGGCAGAGGACGCAGAAGGGGTGAGGTCACGTCTCCCTTGAGCCCCGAGCCGCTGGCTTTTCAGAGCCTCCCCTCGAGCCGGCGGCCAGAGCCCCAGACCACACAGACCGTGCGCTCCTCCGCCCTCCCGGCACCGCCGGCCTCGCCCATGTCTCAGTACGCCCCCAGCCCGGACTTCAAGAGGGCTTTGGACAGCAGTCCCGAGGCCAACACTGAAGATGACAAGACCGAGGAGGACGTGCCCACGCCCAAGAACTACCTGTGGCTCACCATCGTCTCGTGTTTTTGCCCTGCGTACCCCATCAACATCGTGGCTTTGGTCTTTTCCATCATGGTGAGTGAATCAGGGCCAGAGGCAGCCGGGGAGGAGAGACCCGGGCGGCTTTGAGCCCCTGCAGGGGATTCCGCGCGCTCTCCGCGGCTCCCTTCCTCACGGCCCCGCCCGCGCTAGGAGTTCTTTGTCCTCGCACATCCTCCTCACCTTTCTCAGGCTCCCAGAGCTCTCCCCGCAATCATCAGCACCTCCTCTGCACTCCTCGTGGTGCTCGGAGCCCTGATGAAGCTTCCCCCAGGCTAGCTTTCCTCTTCTTTCCAGCTCCCAGGGTGCGTTTCCTCTCCAACCCGGGGAAGTTCTTCCGTGGACTTTGCTGACTCCTCTGACCTTCCTAGGCACTTGCCCGGGGCTTCTCAACCCTCTTTTCTAGAGCCCCAATGCGTGCCACCCTAGTGGGCGGCAGTTAGTGCATTCCCAGAGCGCGCAGGCTCTACGTTCCTTTCCCTGCGGCGCCAGGGGCTCCTGTGCTCCAGCGGCCGGGACTGTTTCTATCTCAGCCTGTGCTCCCTTCTCTCTTTGCTGCGCCCAACGGCACCGCTTCCGCCACTCTCCGGGGGGTCCCCAGGCGATTCCTGATGCCCTCTCCTTGACCCCCTGTTTCTGCTCTTTGGCACGGCACGCTCTGTCCAGGCAACAGTGTCCTCTCGCTTCTTCCCACACCTAGCTTCCTCTCCTTGCCTCCCTCCGGCACCCGCTTTTTAACGCCCCCGAGGCTGCCTTACACCCGCTACCTCTTTAGGTCTTTCTTGGGCTCCCCGTGTGCCCCCCTCACCAGCAAAATGGGCGCGCCTCTGTTACTCTTTCTACCCAGTGCGTCGTAGTTCCTCCCTGTTTGTTGCGCACTGGCCCTAACTTCGCCTCTCTTGGTGTCCCCCAGGGCTCCCAGGCGCCCCTCCACCTCTCTGTCCTGCGCCCAGAGCTCTCCTGGGAATGAACTGGGGAATTCCACGCAACGTGCGGCTCCGCCCGCCCTCTCCGCGCAGGCCTCCCGAGCTGCCCTCCTCTCTAGGAGTGGCCGCTGGGGCCTCCCGTCCGCCCTTCCGGAGCTCAGCTCTCTAGCCCTCTTCAACCCTAGTAGGAACACCCGAGCGAACCCCACCGGGAAGGCGACAAGCGCCTGCTAGGTCCTCGCCTTATTGACTGCAGCAGCTGGCCCGGGGGTGGCGGCGGGGTGAGGTTCGGACCGGCACTGTCCCGGGACAACCCTTGCAGTTGCGCCCCCTCCCCCACCGGCCCACCTCGCCTGCAGCTGGGCCACTGAACTCCCCGGCCACAGACGCAGAGCCCTGATTTAGCGCGGTGAAAATTGCGAACCACCCGTCCCCCGTCAAGTCCGCCCACACTTGCCCACGGGTGGTGGCACCACATTCGCTTCGTGGTCACCTGCAAGGCTCCTGCAAGGTCACTTGCAGCCGTAAATTGCCCTTTCCCAAACCAGTTTGTGGACGGCGTCTGCGCCGACGTGAAAGCGCGCGCAGCCGCTGAAGTTCAGTCAAGCCTGTATTCAAATCCCAATTCTCCCACTTTCTAGCTATGTGATCTCTGAAGTCACTGCATCTCTGAACCTCAGTCTCTTTGTAAAACCGGAATAATCACAGCCAGGTTTCTTGGGGTTGTTGGGAGCATTCATGACATAATTGTTAAGTGCTTAGAACAGGGCCCAGCATGGTATCTTCACAAAATCTTTACTCAAATGTCACTTCATGAGGCCTTCTGTGATTGCTGTTTAAAATCAGGACCCCCACCCACCCACGCCGCGCAAGCTCTGTTCTTTCCTCTCTGCTGCCTTTTGACCAAATTACTTCTCTCCATCTGATATAGCATTTTAATTATTTGTATGTTTACAGTCTGTCCCTCTCATTAGAATATAAGCTCTATGAGGTCAGGAATATTTGTCGGTTCCTGTATCTTCAGCATCTGGAAGAAAATCTGGCACGTGGTAGATGCTTAATAAGTATTATGACATGAATGCATGCATGAATGAATGGTGTGGATGAATCATTAATCTTTTTTTCCCATCCTGGAGGCCCGGCAGCCGTCGCATCCGGTTCCTTCAGACCAACCAGCCAATTTCCTCCCTTCCTTCCTATCCCCATATATCCGGTCTTGACTCTTTTTGCCGAGAGTCTGGAAACGATGCTGCAGCCAAATTCTCCAGGCAGCAGCAGACTGTCTGGCTGGCACTGGTGCCCACATTCTATCCTGGTTTATTAATGAAGCAGCCAATTCACCCCTTTCCCAGTGCCACTTAGAAAACTGCGTGCAAAGCCTTTTTCCCTCATTGGTCTGAAATGAGCTGGCACTCCAGCTGGTAGTGACAGGTCAGATATTAATGATGCTGCTTGGTATGCCCTGGGAGAAGAGGTTTGCACATGCTTTGAATTGAAACTTCCTTTTCTAATCCCCTCTTCCCCATTCCCTCCCCCAAGCCTTTTTCAGTTTTATAAGAGACTATTCTGTTGCCAGAACAGACCCTGGAGACAGTTTACTATGGACAAGTTTGTATCTTTATTTATTTATTTATTTATTTATTTAAGACAGAGTCTCGCTCTGTCACCCAGGCTGGAGTGAGTGCAGTGGCACAATCTTGGCTCACTGCAACCTCCACCTCCTGGGTTCAAGCGATCCTCCCACCCCAGCCACCCCAACTAACTGGGATTACAGACGCAGGCCACCACGCCCGACTAATTTTTGTATTTTTGGTAGAGACGGGGTTTCACCATGTTGCCCAGGCTGATCTCAAACTCCTGACCTCAAGTGATCCGCCCACCTCGGCCTCCCAAAGTGCTGGGATTATGTGGGTGAGCCACTGCGCCCGGCCAGGTTTTGTACCTTTTTAAACCCTTGGTTTCTTCATCTATAAAATGGGAATGTGAACGCTGTTTTAAGATGAGCAAAACTGTTGTAAGGATGAAACAAAACAAAGCATTTTAGCTGTTAGCACTATGCTAGGTACATGCAATAATTGTCAGATGTATAGATGTGGAACTTGGAGATATCATGTTACATATGAAAACAAACAGAAATTCTAAACGGTGTGCCCTACACCCTTCCTGTTGCACTTTCTCTAAGGTACTGGAAGTGTTTTCCCATGGATATAGTGCAGCTCTGGGCTTGATCAGTTTCATCACAAGGACTCCAAAGGACAAAGGACAAAGAGGAAGAGGAAAGATGTGCAGTAGGAAGGTGGGAGACCAATTCTGCCAGGCGTTTGCTTCCCCTAGGGTCTCTTGTGATGTTCGGTCCTTTTTCAACTCTCACTTTTTTCAACTCTCACTTCTCTGTAATTCATGATTTGTGGTGCTCTCAATGATTTGGGGTGTTACTGGCATTTGGTGGAAAGAGCCAAAGTACTAATGTCTGCCATGCTAGGGGCTCTCCCCCAGTGAAGAATGGACATGTTCGCAATACCAAGATCATCCCAGTGAAGAAGCACTGTAGGATGACGCAAATTGTTATAAACATGGATGTGTGGAACATATTGGCAAGGTTCAAAATAATTAGTTTCCAGAATGGTAAAAAAGAGCCAACAATCTCAAAACAATCAATACTTAAATATTTATTAAACCAAGCCTGAGAAGCTTTCTATAAAATCACCAAATTAGAGTAGGTGCTGGCAAAGAAAACTACTTTGGAAAAATACACATTCAAGAAGAGTGTTCTTCAAGTTGTGGATTTCTGTGTTCTTTCTACCACCCCATGTAGCTCCAGGGGAGTCCTGGGGTCCTGGGGGTTAGGAGGTGGCACACCGCAGATGAACTCTAGTCCAACATGTCTTGTTGTATTGAGTGTTGAAAGGTCAAGCATTGTCAGGAACAGAGAAGTGTTGCTTCCTCTATGTATTGAAAGTCTATTTGTTGAAAGCATACTTAACCTCAATGTGAGAGACGCATATCTCAAGAATTTCTCCCTAGACTGGGTTCCTGGTAGCTCATATTGCATCTTTGCGTGAATTTGAATATGGCACATTTTCTCCATGCAGACACAACCCTCCACCAGGGCACATAGCTTGGTGAGGAGCACAAGCTGGCTTTCAGGCCTCATTCATCATGATCCCACCCATCCCTGGCTATCTGTTTATTCCCTGTAAAAGAACCCTATAATTTCCTAATGTGGCCCTCGACCCTGGAGAAAGAATATTTATTTGTTATTCAGCACGTACTTATTGAGCATCTATTAGGTGCCAGGCTCTATTCCAGCTATTCCTTTGTCTCTATCAAGTGGCAAATAAGATCAGAAAGGTCTCTGCCCTCCTGGATCTCAAAGAAGTGGGGCTTTAGGCAAGCTGCAAGAGTGTTGGCAAATTTAGGGTTAGTTCACTGTCTATTGGTTTTGTCGCTGGAATTTGCTACCTTACTCAGAAGACGAGTTTGTGCCAGCCCTCAATTCTTGATGACATCATGATGAATCATTTGCAAAACTGAACCAATTGGTCACTCTAATCATGGATACAAAATAACCAATGACTTTTGACCGGGTGGCGTATAAGCTTTTCATTAGCACTTCTCTCTCACACCTACCAATAGGTGTGTGGGGATTTGCCCATTCTTCATTGGGGAACAATTCATAGCATGGCAGGACAGTAGTACTTTGAGTCTTTCCACCAAATGCCAGTAGCACCCCCAAATCATCGAGACCACCACAGATGCTCCCACATTTCTAAATGCCTTCAAGGGGAATGGTACAACCCCTAGTCGAGATTCCCAAGCACACCATTGCCTGACATGTCTTACACACATCCCTGTCTAGAGAACCTGTCTAGAGACCAACCATTAAGGTTCCAATCCTTTTCTTTGATGTGCTTATGATTTTATGCAAGTGCCTCGATCTTTCTGAAGCTTGGTTTTTCCACCTTGTAAAATGGGGGTTGTGATAGTATTTACCCAAATGCAATTGTGGAGATTAGATAATAAGAGTCAAAAGTTTTCAGGTCACTGCTTAGAACACAGCTAGAATTCAATAAGTATTGATTTGATGATGGTGATGATGATGGAAGATAT